CCACAAGAGAAGCCCAAGAATACTGGAGTGGGTAGCCTATCCCTTCTCCAGCGGATCTTCCCGACCCAGGAATCGAACCGGAGTCTCCTGCATTGCAGGCGGATTCTTTACCAGCTGAGCCACCAGGGAAGCCCTGTGAGTATACACAATTCATAAGTCCCACCATTAATGGAAACGGTGGGTAGTTCCCGACTTCGGGGCTGGTATGGATTGTGCTGCTATGCACATTCTTGCTCATTTCTTCTGAAGGACAGTCTACACGTTTCTGTGTGGGAGACAGGAGCTGGGACCTAGAATGGATGCATGATGTTCAAGTAGATACTTCAGACAGCTTTCTAAAGTGGGTGTCCCAACTAAGGCTTCCATTTATAGTTTTTCCACATCCTTTCCAACATTAGATGTTTTTTTCCTTTTAAATTTACTGAGTCTAATAGGTGTGCCTTGGCATTGAGCTATGATTTCACCTTGCATTTACTTGATAACTAATGAGGCAAAGCAACTCTTTATGTTAATGGATCATTTGTATAAATGTTTTATTTGTTATTCAAGTCTTAGCCCACTGTTCTGCTGGCTTATCTAACTTATTAATTTGTAGGAATTCTTTATACACTCTGGGTACAAGTTGTTTGCTATATTTGTTGCAAATGTCTTTTACTCTATATGTTGTCTTTTCATTTTCTTAATGATGTCTTTCGATGAACAGACATTCTTGATATTATTATTTTCCAAATTGTCATGATTTCCCTTTCTGGTTAGCATTGTCTTGTAACCTTACTAAGGAAATTTTACCCACTCCAAGGTCATAAAGATGTTCTTTTTTTTTTTTTAATAAAAAAGAGCTTTATAGTTTTTCTATAACTTTATAGTTTTATCTTTCATACTGAGATCTACAATCCATCTGGAATTTGCCTTTATATGGCATGAGGTGGCGACCAATAAGTCATTGTTTTCAGTAAGGGTATTAAGTTAATCCAGCACTGCTTACTGAAAAGACCATCCTTTCTCCAATGCACTCACTATCACCTTTGTCACAAAGATGTCTTTATTCCAGTATTTATTCCAAACAGACATATAGTTATTGTCTGTTTATTGTTGCACAAATGCCACACCACACCACTATAACTTTATAATAGATCTTGACCTTTGGGAGGGTACTTTATCCATCTTTTCGTCAAGGCTGCCTTTGTCATTTGAATAATAAATTCTAGAATTTGCTTGTCAGCTTACTCTCTCTCTCCTGCTCAGATTCTGCTGGGGCCTGCATTGCACCTACTTGGTCCATTTGGGGAGAATGAGCCACGTAACCATCCTGAGTCCTGTCCTCCACGGACATGGCCTATCTCTCCATCTTATTCAAATCTTTAATTTCTCTCAGCAATATTTAATTTGCAGGGAATAGGGCTTATAGAACTTTTTATCAGATTTATATTTTGGATATTTGAATGTTTTGTTGCTATTTTAAATAGTATTTTAAATTTCATTTTAGTTTGCTGCTGATACACAGCAATACAACCAATTTTTGTATATTATTCACATAGTTTTTCAGTGATAGAGTTAACCAGTATAATACCCAAGAATGATTGTCATGGGTTGATAATCTATTCTCTGTACTTTTAAAATGAAGAGGAAAGGAGAACTATATTTAAATCCAGAGAAATCTAAGCCCCAGTTTTATAGAGATAAATTACCTCTAGTTATATTATAAAAACTTACTAATTTAAACAAATAGGGACAAGAAGACCATGAATTCATAAGCAAATAGTGAATATATTAGACTTTTATTTCTGTTGAGCTTTTATGACACAATTAGCTTACAAAGAATGATCAGTTCTTTAAAATATAAATGGATGTTTATGTTTAAAATAGTTAAAAAAAAAGTATTTCCAGCATTTGCTTATCAAATGACAAATACCCAAATGTAGTACAGTATAAAGACAAATCATCTTCATCAGTATCTGAAGAACTATAAGCTTGAAAAGAGTAAGGTGCATGTTAATAATTTGCTTGTACTATATACAATGATAATTGGAATATATAGTATACTTAATAAATACAGATATATACATGCATGTAAACACATTTATTTAGCCTTTTAGTTATACAACTGCTTAACAATATCTTTTCAGTATATATATATATATATATATATATATATATATATACACATGACATGACCTCTCAAGCATGTTTATTAATACTACTTACACATTACACATAACAGGCCAGGGACAATGAGAATATACTTGAAAGAATAATGCAAAAGTGAACAGTATCATATAGATCTGTCTGAATATTTTTAATAGATAGTGAAATAAATTTTCCATTCATTTCATTTCATTCATTTAGTTTTGCAAGACTGAAAAAGGCAGTGATACCACTGAATAAAATTAGATACTTTAGATACACAGAATAAAAAAGATGTTTATATTCTGACACAGTATAAGTATCTACTTGTGGGTTCACAGGAGTAAGGCTTTTGTTTCTGTTCACTGATGTATCCTCAGTGTCTGGAGCTGGCAAATAATAGGTGCTCAATAAGTATTTCCTGGCTGATGGAAGGAAGGTCAGTATATATTTCAAAAAGCTTTGGAACAACTGCACTCATGACTAAAAGTCAAAATCAAACGACATCTGGATATTTATGCAGAATGACTAAAAAGCTATGGAAAAGCACATGGGTCATTCTCTTCCTACTTGGAGCTGTTTTTGTATTTACTCATATAATCTGTGTCTCCTGGCAGAAAGTGCAGTTTCAAACGTTCACAATAACTATTTATTTGAGGAGACTGGAGAGCCTTGTCTCAGAAGGCTTCCTGGGGCCTGGAGGCAAGGCTTGAAAAGGCTGGTGACTTGCCCAAGCCACAGTTGCTCAGCCAGCACTTCGGCTCTGCACTCAGACCACGGCACAAGCCCAGCTTTTCAAACACTTCCTTGAAATCACATGCTGAAGCAGTTATATTCATACACCAGTTTTTTTTTTTTTTGGTTACACTTACATGAGACAATTGTTCCTATTGTCTTAGATTTTGCACTCAGCAAGAAGATGGAATTAAAAATTCCTTTAAAACCTTTAAAGCAGTAGAGTGTCTTTTATTAATAGCTTAAACGACCAGCATTGTCGATGTATCAAGACAACATATGCAAGCAACCGTGTCTACATTTGTTTCACAGCAAAGCAGGCACTAATTATTTTACACTTTTAAGTGCTTGCTATATTAGAATATACCTTACAATTTAAATATGCTCCTTACAAATAAAACTTATCTATATTGATTAGAAAAAATAACGAGAAGGACGTAAATGTTGGGTTAAGTCTAATTCTAGACTAAGCTACTAAACAAATCTTTGATTTAAACTGTTTGCAGAGAACAAGAAATAGAAAAGTTACGGGTTTTCTAGGAAGGCTCAGTCCAGGAGTTCTGGAGTTTTCTTAAAATTTTCCTTTTGCATTCCATCTGCCTCCTCCACAATCCAGTCTTTGCTCAAAATGTGTAACTATAAAATATTCTGGTTTTAAATAGCAGGTCCTATTTAATAGTCTTCATTATTACCACACTTCAAGCCAAACTGGAGCTCCAACCTGCAACCTCCTTGACAAAATAGCAAGTCTCAGGACTCCAGAACTTTTGCTTCATTAAAAGCTAAACTCAGTGTAGAAATGCTATGCAGGTTAATGGAGATCATCGGCCTTAAGGTGCTCTACCCTTTGTTGCTTTTACAGACCAGACTACAGTCACCTACAAAATGTAGACTCAGTTGCATAAGTAAGTTACCAAAATCTTCATCTCCTGGGTTTATGGTAAAAAATTATTTTTTTCCCTTTCCTCCAAATGATGTTAGACAAGTCAAAGATAAATCTCACAAATTATTTTATGTTTGTTAGCATGACTCAATTTACTTCTTTCCTTTTAGGACTGACCTCATAAATATATACTGGCTAGGACCACTTACAAGACACATGTAAAAACACTCCCAGCCTGCTTCTCTAGTTGATTTCCAAGGCAGAGAGAGTAAACAGCCTTCTCCCAGCTTTCTCACTGTGCACAGCTGAGAGTGTAGGGTGTTTACAGTATCTGTCCCTCAGTGCTCTCTGGGGCGGGGCTGGCGGGCAGCAGCTCAAGCCTCGGGAAACCCAGAATTGTTTCAAGAGACCATAAAGTGTCACGGGAGAAGACCAGAAACCATTCATGGGACTAAATTACGGTTCTCTTAGGACTGGTGTTTTCTTCCTACCTTGTATACATTAGGACTCTCCTGGGGTCTACAGCTTTGTTCTTTGTACACTCATGGATTCTCGTTAATGTGGGATTTTCAATATTCTACGATTTTCCAAAATGGTCTCAAAAGACTCACTCACCCCTGAAACAGCGTACCTTTCCTTTCCGGGTGTAGAACCCAGCTGCTCACACTCTGAGGGCTGCAACTTTGCCTCAACTCACTCTAGCCTGTAACTGAGCAATGGGCCTGCAGACAGAAGGCCACCTGTCAGTTTAATTACTGAAAGTTAGTCACTTTAATTATGGGCTTTGTAGCCATAAATTCAATCAAACAAGCAAAAGTAATTATGATAAGACATAAATTATGCGTATAGAAATGGCATACTGCAAACTGCAAACATAATACTGAAATTTTTTTAAAAAAATGCAATATTTGGAACCAAGCAAGCCTGCAATTAGAGGCATATCCATGAGTGGAGTTAGTTGACACCTGAAGTTCTTTTTTAAGACACATTTGTTCCAAAGGTTCTTGGACTTAATTTGCTAAATTGATCTATGGTGCACAGGATGCTGTGTGACAAAGAAAATCAGTACTGTGTATCACAGGACAACCCTCTGTGATAGAAGAACCCCACACAGGTAAACCAAAGAGGCAGCAGATTTCAGACTCTCCAGACAGTGCGCATGGATTCATTCATTCGACAAACACATGTGGGTGCCTGCCATAGATCACCAACGTTCTAAACTCTGAGTGATGAGAGATGAAGGGGATCATCCCTGCCCTCAGGGAAGACACAGCCTAGTCTTCAGTGCAGACATATGAACCGTTGTCCGAATGTGACAGGCGCCGTGCTGGGTCAGGACATGCTTCTCAGTCAGCAGACGCCTGGGCTGCATCTTACAGGAGGAATGAAAGTAATCAAGGGGTGATGGTGCCCGCGGGGGTCGGGAGAGGTGGGCAGGGGAGGAGACGATGCAGCTGCGAATGTCTGAAGAAGAGTCACACCGCGGGGACCTTTGAGAATCCCACAGAGTTGAAGAATGTGGGTGAAGGCAGGTGAGGGGCAGGCGGGACAGAGGGGGATGACTTGGGTCCCCACATGCCGGGCCAAGACATTGGGGCATCCTCTCCAAAGGAGGACGCAGTCAGGCCTGCACTTGAGAGTTGACTGCAGCTGCCAGGCTGCAGGGAAGGGAGGTTAGGTAAAAGATTCCTGCAAGCGGGTGGAGGGGTGTGTGGGGCCCTAACTCTGGGCATCTAGCAAATGAATCTGAGAACCAGGAAAGACGGAAACAGCAGTGCTCAGTGAGAGGCTGGCTGAGGGAATGGGGGCGTCCCGGCTGGGGGTAGGGGGCGCAAGGCCTTTCCTGGGGGCGAGGGGGAATATGAAGCGAAGCCTGCAGGAAGGGGCTGGGAGAATTCCAGCTCGCGGATTCATGGATCTGCGCTGGAAGGCCATGAAGCCATGTGGAAGGCGGGTTTAACTGTCAAAACTGAAGGGATGGCGATCTTGTGAAGGACTAACCCATGTAGGCCTTGCTTTATTCTGCTGGTTCTGCACTAGACCGACCCTCCAGCTGGCATAGGCCCACCCGCTCTGTGGCCCCCGAGGGTCACCACCACCCCTAATGCGTGCTGGCTGCCCCAACCTGAGGTGAAGGTCCGTTCCTCTCTGACCATCAGGGCACACTGCATATACTTCTACCAAGGTGCTTACACTGTATTGCAAATATTGATAGTTGATATTGATTTGTCTGTCTCTTGATTCAACTGTTTCATGCCATTTCACTTCATTAAAAAAAAAAAATCAAAACCATATAGCCAGTTTGTTTGACAGGAGTAAAGTTCCCAGTAAGTGTTTGGTGAGTGAAGCAATGCTTGAATGCCTGATGCCATCTGCCACCTGGCAATCTGTTAACACTTCAGAGATAATTATTCAGGTTTTAGATTGCCAGGTGGCAGATTTATCAGTCCCTGAAACTTTGTTTTGAAACTTCCAAATACTATGGTTCCCAGCTATCCACGAGGAATTTTTTCCAGGACTCCCTCAAGTACAGAAATCTGCGCATGCTTGAGTCACTTATAGGAAACTGGTGAAGTAAAGTCTGCCCTCGGAAGTACAGGTTGCCCCCAAGGATTGGAATCCATGCCTGGAGCACCTGCAGATACCGGAGACCGAGGGCAGACTGTAATTCAAGGTCAGGCTGTTTTGTTTTTCCCAAGGAACTCGTGGCTAAGAAGAGAAATCACTTCATGACAAGTCATTTCTTAAATGACAGAAAAACCTTTTGGAAAGTTAAGTTCTCATGAAGAATGTGTGATTTATTTATTTTTTGTGATGGATTCCAAATGAAGGGAAATCAGGGTCCAGAATCAGTGCAGAGGAGAAACGCATGTAAACAGTTTATAAATGGACAAGAAAGAAAGGAAATGGCCCTAATAGTTGGGCCTGACTGTTGAATAATCATTTAAGAGTTTAAAATGTTCTAACTGGGAAGAACCACACCCAGACTAAATACAGTGATTAAAGTAATTTTTGGTACATAAAATGATGATTTTAACCATTCAGAGACCAGTCTGAGGAGTTTCTGTTGTAACATGAAATCTCCTCATTTTGTTCAAGTCCCGTTTCTGATTTAACATGTACGTTAGTTACATAAAACCAAACTATGATAAAGTAGTAATTTGCTTACTCAAAGTGACCAAAAGTAAATATATATATATATATATATATATATATATATATATATATATATAAAAGAATATATTTATTTCAAGTGTATATTACATCTGATCACATTTGGCACATTTTGTATTCAAAAAAATCTTTTAATCTATTATCCGATTAAAAAGATAAATTCTGCAGTAGTATATCTTTCAGGATATACAGTAACTGTCTCTGAATCTCATATTTAAGTTAAACTGTAGCAGCTTTATAGTAGCCATGAGTGACTGACTTGGGGGAAAAAAAAAAAAAGCACTTGCCACTTTCGAAGCTTCACTGTCTCCTGGAAGCAGATTTTTCTGGTCCATCTCGGGTGTTGCTACTTTCTAGTCAGGCTCCAGGTCTCCTGCCACTGCATGGTAGGGCTGCTACAGATTCCCTGGTGGGGGTGCCAGCTTGCCCCTTAGGTGTGTCTCTGTAAGCTCTGTGCCATCCGCTGCCTTCCCTCGCCTGGGCCACACAGTTGCCATGTCACCTGCCATTCATACGCTTTCATTTCGCCTGTCCTGTGAGACGAGCATTTAACAGGGAACTTTCACATCCCCCAGCTGAAAACAAAATCCAAACCTCCCACAGTCTCACATACTCTCAACACATAATGAACTATGTGGAAATTTTCAGAGAGTGACTTAGAAAAATCACAATGCAGATGTGACAGTACACACTCCTTTATTTTCAGGAATAACTTTACAGGTTCACACTCTCGTTTGTATTCATCTGATACCCTAAAGGAAAACTGTAAGCACGGAGTGCTTCACTACAAGGTTGCAGGATATGGATAATCAACAACCATGTGACGCTGAAATAGATTAAGTACAGAATATATTCATAAGATTTACGGACACTTGTCCAACTGAAAACTTCTACCCAGTTTAAACCATTTGTTCTAAGAAGCGCATCCATTGTTTAATTAACTTTCTTATGTCTGTCCCGAGGAAAAAGCTCTCCTCCTTGGCCCCAAAGTGCTGTACTCTGGACCCACGCCTGCAATGACTGTCTCAAGTTCTCACTGTAGCTCAAACCACCTGCTTAAATCTGCTGCTGCTGCTAAGTCGCTTCAGTCGTGTCCGACTCTGTGCGACCCCAGAGACAGCAGTCCACCAGGCTCCCCCGTCCCTGGGATTCTCCAGGTAAGAACACTGGAGTGGGTTGCCATTTCCTTCTCCAATGCATGAAAGTGAAAAGTGAAAGTGAAGTCGCTCAGTCGTGTCCGACTCTTCGTGACCCCATCGACTGCAGCCTACCATGCTCCTCCGTCCATGGGATTTTCCAGGCAAGAGTACTGGAGTGGGGTGCCATTGCCTAGAACCTAATAAATTCTACAGCATGAGGGAATAGCTAAAAGTTCATGTCATCTTGCATAGAATGCTGTGAGTAGATTCAGAGGGTTAGAAGATCAGTCAGTGTGATAGAACCTACTCAGTCATGCCTTCATTACATATTCTGTGGGGTCTTCATTAATTTAGTTTTTTTTTTCATTTACACTTGCTATTTCATTTAAGTTATTGTGCTTGGAAGGGGAAAAAAGAGAATGTGGCCTATCTATCTAACTAGTTTCTTCTTAATTATGCAACTTTCAAGGTTTTTTTAAAACATTAATAGATTTAAAAAAAACCTTTTTAAAGTAAATATGTGGATTTTCAATGAAAGTGGTAGGAAAGTTGCATTCAAACAACAACAAAAAAATTAATGATAATTATTGGAGTCTTCTTTCCATATATTCTGTGAGCAGCGTTACAAACTACAGATCGTTCTGGCAACTTACAATAGGTAATTATAGGTTTAATTAAATAACACAGAAGTAAAAGTTTCTTAATTTTGGCTGCAGCCATGGTGGTGGGAGTGTCACACCAACGGGAGAGAAGGTGTTCGGGCAGGGTTCTCACACCGGGACTGTTGGTAGACGGCCTAATGGTGCTCCAGCCAACATTTTGGTTAAATCCTGAATATTTATTGCAGACATCTGAAATGACTTTAGAATAACTGTCACTACTATAGAGTTTCAACTTGGTATAATACTTAGTGGCACAAATGCATATTTTGATGAAGCTAGCCCCTTCACTTCAGCCAAATACTCTTTTATGTACTGAACACACGAGAAAGTAATCACCCATCTCTAAATGCGGTGTGTGTGTGTGTGTGTGTGTGTGCGCGTGTGTGTATGTGTATGTGTGTGCGTGTGTATGTGTGCGTATATGTGCATGTGTGTATGTGTGTGCGCGCGCGCGGGCGCGTGTGTGTGTGTATGTGTGTGATGGTTCTGGAAAGCTACATACCAATCTGATAGCAGGAGTTATCTCTGGGGAAACGGAGAAAGGTAGGGTCTAGGGCTGGGTAGCAACCTTATTGGAAATAATTCAGTTTTTTTATAAAGAAAAGTTACTTATGAATATAGGCAATTGTTGAATTAAAGTTCTCAAGATTAGAACTAGTATTCAGCCAAAACTGAAGTTGTAGCTTCTCCAGAGACAAGCTGTGACCTTGGCTACTCTCCAGAATCTTCTCTATTAAACCATAAAATAATATGTTAGGAGGTGCATGGGTATGCGAGACATGTTGTCAATAAATACCCATCATCAGAAGCATTTCATGACATGCTATTAGTCATACTCTTTCCAGGTTTAGGATTAACAGGATCTGAATTCTTCCCACCATAATGAGATCTCTTTCCTAAGCTCAAGGTGGAGATTGTGAAGGTCACCGGCTCCTCCTATCAGGGAGGCTCCGGACCCGGGACCTCTTTCACGGAAGGGAATCCGGCCAAGAAGGGAGGGGCCTCTTAAGGCACAGCCTAGTTGATAAAACAATTACTTAAAAAAAGTTCTAGACAAAATAAATCATGTCAGAAAATGTTTTGGAAACAAACAAAACAAAACAAAACTGAAAACAAAAAAAACCCCAAAACAACTCAGCACCACCAGGTGTCACTATAACCTAAAGCGCTGCGGGTAGTTTCTCTTTATTTGGGAACTAATGGACATGAGGAGCCAACAAACAACATCTTACAAGGCTTTCCATGTCTATATACTATCATAGTTACTAAACTACAGTTGCTGAACTCTACATGTATCACTGCAAGCTTCAACTTTTAAAAAATTATAAATAGCGACAATGAATGCTAAATGATCTAAAGTGCAGTAAGTGGACCTTTGGAGGTCAGGGATTTAATATTTTCAGTTTTGCCTTCTGAGGGGCAAGCCGAAGTCATGACTATGCTGATCTGTCATTTGACTGAGCAGATTTATTCAGGGAGCAAGTGAGTCCAGCCTACTGCCCAGCACTTTTCTTATTCTCAACTTGATATGGGATATGACTCTCAAAACAGTAAAGAATAACAGTTGGAAATTCTCAGAGCTAATAAAATTAAGATGATGAATTATTATTTCAGTTTCGAGACAT